GGCCAGGAGCCCCAAACCATCAGGGGTAACTCGAGTCAGGGCTAACTCGGGCTCGTTTTTCGGGGCTCCGAACCCGAGCTACCCCGGGCCCGAGCTGCCCCAGTTAGTTCGGGCGCCCAGGGCCACAAATCATCAGGGGTAGCTCGGGCCAGGGCTAACGCGGGTTCATTCGTTCGGAAATCCAAACCCGAGCTCCCCCGGGCCCGAGTTACCCCAGATAGTTCGGACGCCCAGAGGGGGCGGGCGGCGACCGCCGAGCGCGATCGCGAAAGGCCTTCATCGGCGCCCCGCTCGTGCGTCGCCAAGGCCAGCACCTTCGTCCAGCCGCTGCCGTGGCGGACGAGCGCCTCGTGAAGGCCGCCCACACCCACCGGCAGCAGGTCACCGTCGTTGAGGGTCACCACCCCGCCGACGCGCTCCCAGCCCACAGACACATCCACGACAATCCACTCCGTGCCTGCCGGCGGTGCAGACCTTTGGACGCCCGGGTTACCCGCGGTAACTCGGTCCCGGGGCAACTCGGGTTTGGATCCTGGGAAAAAGGAATCCGAATTAGACCTGCCTGGACGCCCGAACTATCCGGGGCAACTCGGGCCCAGAGCGGCTCAGGTTCGGATTCCCGAAAAATGACTACCTACCAGACCACCCCAACCCAACCCGAAGACCCGAATTTCGGGATGGGGGGGGGTACGGGCTCCACACGTGTCTTCCCAATGTTCCCCGGCCCCCCCCCACACTGAAACTGGCGGGCAAATCGGGGCCTTAGGGTTGGGTTGGGGTGGTTTGGTAGGCGGTGAAAAAACAAACCTTTGGACGCCCGAAATGGTTATGGAAAAAGCGGGCACAATGCCCAACAACAGCTGCTGTCTCAAACCAACAGCGGCCGCTGTTGGGCAGGCGACCCTCTGTCTCAAGTGGACACAGGCGGCGGCGGCGCGGACAGCGAGTCCTGCTCAAAATGAGCAGGCCCTGCTCTTGGGCATCGTACCCATGTCCTTCCGTACCCATTTCGCTCGTGCCGAGACCCCGAGTTAGGCCTGACCCGAGTTACCCCTGCTGATTCGGAGCTTTGGGGCCCCGCGGTGACCAGCGCCAGCCCGCCTCCTCCCCGGCCACGCCGGCATCAGCTCCGCCTTCGACTCCATGAGCCGCTCCAGCCGGCGCCGCCGACGCCACGTCCAGCAGCGCGCCGAGGGGGCGCTCTCGCCCGCTTGGGCCCGCGCAGGCGTGGACCATCGGCAGCTCCGCCCCGCCCGCGTCGAGCACCGCCTCCGCCCTGGCATCCGTGACCAGGATCTTCAGCTCCCTGGTCCCAGGGTTGGGTCGGGCGTGACCTCCTACAGGCGAATCTCGGACGACAAGTTAAAACATATGCAACAATTAACCAAACATGCTCCAACAGACTCAAAACAATCGTCCCCAGACTACTTCTTCTGCTCTTGAATATTCCTCATTGCGTGCACAAGTTAATACAACACATGCAGCCGCAGTTTGGTAGCGTGTGTCAGTATTCCTCTCCCTCCTCCTCCTCCTCCTCCTTTTCCTCCTCCTCCTCCTCCTCCATAACTGTTTGTCTTGCCGAGGCGCCGTGCCACAGGCTGGCGCATGGCTGCGTTGCTCGTTGCTGAATATTCCTCCTGTGGGGGGACGCCCGAGTTGATGCCAAGGTTTATGTTGCCCAATATCGTACTCAACGACCACATCCCAGAAATAATGTCGAGCACCCAGACAAATGTCGAAACCGTGTCGCATAAGCATCGCCTCCCAGGGCCCGACACGTGAAAACCCTCCAGCTTCGGTACTTTCCTGGTGCTCGAAGTTCTCTGGTGCTTAATAGGGGAACAAAAACCGACACAAACATAAAAACTCGGAGGTCCGCGCAGATTTCTCGGATCCGCGCTGGACCACCCCCCCTGGCGCGCGGAGCGCGCCAGGGGCGGCGTCGGAGGCGCCGCTGGGGGGGTCCAGCGCGGATCCGAGAAATCCGCGCGGACCTCCGAGTTTTCATGCTTATGTCACTTCTTGTTCCCCCAGTTAAGGCTAAAGTAGGCTGGAACATCATAAACCAAGCAAAGCAAAGGTCCGATCGGACGCCTCAAAGCGTCACGTCCCACGCGTGAAAACGGCGAAACCGTAAAACGGGCCTGCCATGGCGAGCAACGCTGGCGGCGAAGGAGAAACATTGGATGCAGTATTGACAGGCGTGCTTGAGGGGAGGGGAGGAGGAGGGAAGAAGGAGGTGGAGGCACGCCCCTCGAAACCTGCAGACTGCCCCTCGCAGGCCTGCAGGCACGCCCTCCGCCGCGCACCGCCCTCGCAGCCCGCCGCGCGCTCCGCGCAGACGTGGCCGTCGGGCGTCAGAATCGTCCAGACTCCTCCTCCTCCTCCTCGTGCACGCACGTCCGTGTCCTCCACCTCCTCCTCCTCTTCCTCCTCCTCCTCATCATCATCCTCATCCGCATCCTCATCCTCATCCTCATCCTGGTCCTCATCCTGATCCTGATCCTGATCCTCATCCTCATAATCATCCTCGTCATCAGCATCATCATCATCATCATCATCATCATCATCAGCAGCATCAGCATCATCATCATCACCATCAGCATCATCATCAGCATCATCATCATCGTCATCATCATCATAATAATAATAATCATCATCCTCATCATCAGCATCATCATCATCATCGTCGGCATCGTCATCGTCATCGTCATGATCATCATGATCATCATGATCAACATGATCATCATCATCATCATCACCACCACCACCATCATCATCATCATCATCATCATCAGCAGCAGCATCCTCAGCATCCTCAGCATCCTCAGCAGCATCATCAGCATCATCAGGATCATCAGCATCATCATCAACGACGTCGTCATCATCATCACCATCAGCATCAGCGTCAGTATCTCATCCCCGACCTTACTCCTCGACCTCCCTCCCACCCTTACCCTCACCCTCGTCCTCCCATACAATATTCCTCCAGCTGCTCATCCTCGTCCTCCATCGTCCACATCATCTGCCTCCTCTTGATTTATCCTCCGCCTCCTCATCATCCTCCGCATTGTCCTACTGCTCCTATTTATCACCCCGAGGACCCCACAGAGCCCCACCTTCACTTCCCAGCACGTCCCAGAACCTCTCCACCGCGAATCATAATTGCGCTCATCCTCCCTCGTTCTCATCACATTTCGACTATTCCCTTCCTCCTCCAACTTTTTCCTCCTCCTCCTCCTCCTCCTCCTCCTCCTCCTCCTCCTCCTCCTCCTCCTCCTCTTCGTCCTCCTCATGATCATTCTTGGGCCGCCAAAGAAATCCAGAACCGTTTACGACCTCGCACATCCTCCTCCTCCTCATCCTCCTCACTCTCCCTTCGCTCCATACCATTTCGAATAGTCATCATACTGTTTCTCTGACATTAACTGTCTGCCTCTGTCTTTCTCGTCCCGACAAGCCAGTACATTCCCCCTGTCCCATCCCATCCCATCCCTCCTCCTTGTCCTCCTCCTCCTCCTTCCCCATTCATCTTCCTCCCCGCCTCCTCCTTCTCCCTTTCCCTTCTTCCTCTCCTGCCTCACCCTCCATATGCTGCCTCTTCGTCCTGCTCCTCTTGATCGACCCCCTCATCTACCTCGTCCACCTCCACCTCCATCTCCTCCACCTCCCCTTCCCCCTCCCCCCTGCCTCTCACTCCTCCTGCATCCTCCTCCTCCTCCTCTCCTCCTCCTCCTCCTCCTCCTCCTCCTCCCCCTCCCCCTTCTCCTCCTCCCTCCCCCTGTTCCCCCTCCCCCACCTCCCCCTCCCCCTCAGGCTCCTCCTCCTCCTCCTCCTCCTCCTCCTCCTCCCTCCTCCTCGAATCTGGCGACCCAAGGCGGTGCCCAGAGCACGTCCTAGGGCGATTTTCCCAGGCAGCGCAGAGGCTCCAAACGTGGAGCCGCCCCTGCCCGGAGCTCACGACCCCGCCCAGCCCTAAGTATGATGTTCCAACTTACTTTAGCCTTGATCACCAGGAAGAATTTCGAGCACCATAGAAGTACCAAAACTCGAGGGTTTTCACGCGTCGGGCCCTGGGAGACACTCGTTCGGACCTGTTTCGACACTCTTCTGACACTTTTCTGGGTGCTCGAAACTATTTCCGGGATGTGGTCCCTAAGTACGATGGGACCAACATAAGCCCAGCCATGGCTGGGCGGCCCAGCCATGGCTGGGCGGAGGTCGTGAGCTCTCGTGGCTGGATCTTGTGGCTGGCCACTGACTACCTACCAGACCAACCCGGGCCCCAACCCAACCCGAAGACCCGAATTTCGGGTTGGGGGGGTACGGGATCAATACGTGTTTTGCTCACTGTTCCCCGACCCCCCACACCTGGAAATGGAGGGCAGATTGAGGCCTTCGGGTTGGGCTGGGGTGGTTTGGTGGGCGGTGAGCCACAAGATCCAGTCATCGTCGAGTCGTTGGAAGTTCTACCGGATGTGGTCGGTAGGGTTTTTGTTTCTGCTCTGGTTCCCGCCCCGCCCGGTCTGGCGGGGAGGAAGCCAGGCGTGAATATCGTTTATCCGATCCCCATCCCCAGCGGCGTGGCCGACTTACCCCATGGGGATATAGTCCGTTCCCTTCGGGTTTCGAGGGGTGTATTCCCAACTGGGGTGGTAATTTGGTGGGGGTCTCGAAGGGGATGGGGATGGGGATGGGGATTGGCTCATCGAGACCGAAGGCGGGCAGATCGCAGAGGTGGCGGAGGCCCTCCGCCTAGAGGACGAGGCGCCACGCGTCGGAGCTTCGGTGGAGCCTGGTGACTCCCACTGAAGTTGTTGTTCCGGTCCCCCGGGGTCTCTCGCTGGCGCTGGCCACCGCCAGGGGTCGTTTACCAGGCCAGCCCACGCTGGTCTTTGGCGTTCATCGCCCAGGTACGGTGCAGGTGAAATCAAATCCTCCTCCTCCTCCTCCTCCTGCTCCTCCTCCTCCTCCTCCTCCTTCTCCTCCTCCTGGCCCGCCTCGAGAAACACCGGGGAACACGCCTTGGAGAACCACCGCCTGATGAGGGACTTCTGCCCCTTGGTGGCCGAATCCTCGGGGCGGGGGCATAAAAAAGGGACAAGGGCCCGTCAGGCAACAGCGGTAACTGTGGAGGAGGAGGAGGAGGAGGAAGAGGAGGAGGAGGAGGAGGAGGAAGAGGCGGAGGACACGGGGACGCCACCAAACTTGCTGCAAAGGCCCCGGAGAAGTCCAAAAACGCCCCACACGCCCAATGGGCCCAGGACGGCCTCAATGCGGCCCCTCACGGGCCCACGAGTGCCCAACAACTTCGGCTGCCTCGTGAAATCCCAGCCTGTCTGGACGCTATGCCGCGAAGCAGCGTTGTGGATACATCTTCGAAAAGTATCCAGCGATAACCTTTAGCTGGGGATCACACGCACCCATGGTAAAACGTGTTACACTATTTCAAATGTATGGTACTAGGCATTCTTGAATTTTCAAACAATGCTCACATATCGAAAAAGGACGGCCCATGATCCGTGTAACTGACTGTTGCGCGGCTTGTAAGCCGGGCCACAATATTTGAAACCGATCACGCGACGGCAATATTTAAGAAACGCACTGCTCTCCATCCTTGAAGCTGTTGGAAAGCCTGACAGAAAACAGCGCGGTGATATTTCGAGAAGCGCATGCTGAAAACCACTTGCCCTTTCCAGCCGTGCATATGTTGGAATATGGTTTGAAAAAAACGCGCGGCAATGACGCGAGAGCCGCATTTTGAAAACCAGCGGCCCTCGATCGGTGCAGTTGTTGTTTTTTTCTCTTGCAAGGGCTGACATGGCAAAGAACTGTCAAGCGAAGCGCCTGGCCCATCCTGTGGAAACATCGGGCGGCACGCCAGTAGGGCGGGATCTAGAACGACGAGGGCTGGAGGAGCAGGAGGGGGAAGAGGAGGAGGAGGAGGAGGAGGAGGAGGAGGAAAGGGGGGAGGAAAGCACCGCCTCAAGGGAGCCCGTCCGGGGGCCAATGTCCGCTTCCCCTCATGGGGGCTATAACCAAGCACTCAAGGAATCATACATCGCCCACAAGCTAGCCGGAGAGCGTCGCACGAGCACGAGCCGACCGTCTTGCGATCGCTCTGGCGCGAGCTCGGATCATGCTCTCGACTCCGTCGGGGCCTTGGCGATCCTGTATCCGGAGTGTGTTGTAAACAGAGAGAAGGATATCATGCATCAGGAGACAAGCGTGCAGCCCCTCCATCGTTAGAGAGCTAAGATCATGTACAAAAATGCGCCGCGAAAAATCCCATTGAGGATAGCAACGGGGAAGGGGACGGAACAGACGACACAAGAGGGAGACAACGAGGGGGCAACTAAAATAATGATCGATCCTGTCTCCCGCCTCCACGCCGCAGCCAAGCCTGCAGGGTCGCGCGCACATCCTGTACCTGCGTGTGGTCGGCCATCCATTGCACACAGACTTAAGGATGGCAGTGCAAACAAATGGCCCGAACTTCTGGGAGGCGAGTTTCATATTTAAAATTACACGTTCGGCAACAGGCATGGGCCCCAGGGAAAAAATAACGAATCCTAGGAAGCAGGAGACTGGCCGCGCCGGGGAGATTCAGAAGTCGAGCAAGACATGTCGTAACCTTCGCCTGGACGTCGGGGATCTCCTCTTGGCCTAGCTCCGGGCTCATGCTGACGATGCTGCTGTAATTTTGGATCATGTTGTATGTGATACTCGATTCAAGCCAGTCTCGATGGCGAGGGATTGCCAGAACATCAACATCATAATGCCGTATACGATGAAAACGGGCCTGGGCGTCACCGAACTCACGACTGTTGGCCGCAGCGCGGAACATGGCAGCACGACAGCTCGGAGACAGGGCGCGGGGAGCCGCCCGAATACCCAAAGAGTCAATCTGCCGCAGAAGGTTAGAAGGTATATCATGATAAGGGCCCGCTGTGAGTCGTTGCAAACAGATGTGCTCGGCGTCGTGGATACTCTTGGGGACGGGGTACACGTGGCTGACATGAGAGAGCACAGGGAAAGCAAACACATTATATGCCTGTATATTCTGCGCCATGCTCAGCCGGAGGCTCCTTACATGCGAGGTCCTCTGGAGAAACTTTCGACGAGGGCGCGACCAAGATTTCTCCAACCCTCCAGGCCCAACAGACACGCCCAAATACTTACCGCAACGTGAAACTGTCATGCTCCGAATTCGTAGGTGCAGTTTCCGGAATGTTTTTACGATGTCCTGGGTGTCAATGTCTCTCACAAATACAATGCTACACTTCTGAAGGTTCAAGACAAGACCAGATACGATTGCAGTCTGACAAAACCATAACAATACGACTGGCAACGAGACGAACAAATTCCCTGAACATACGCCAACGTCGTCAGCAAATGCAAGAGCGACCCGGATGAACATCGATACGACGCTGGAGTCCTCGAAGGATGGGGTCGAAGCAAAACAAAAATAACAATCCAGCTAATGGACAACCTTGCTTGACTCCGCGGGTGATCCAGTAACCAGGGTGCCGTCCTCCACCGAACTGCACCTCTACGTAAATGTCCAAGTGAAGATTCTGCACGGCGCGAACGATGTACGCCGGAACGCCCATCCCCCTCAGCGAGTCGATCATCCAACGGTGTGAGATCGATGGGAAAGCAGCCTTCAGGTCCAGAAGAATAACCCCAGAATCCTTCATATCTCGGTGGCAGGCCCACTCCAACAACCAAGATTCAAGCTGTACGATGTTGTCCAGCATGTTGCGCCCCTTGATGAATCCGCGCTGAGTGTACACAACAGAATACTGCGCCTGCTTCATGAAAGGTACGGCTAAGCACGCGGACAGCACCTTGTTATCAGTGTTGGACAACGTGAGGGTCCTGGCCTGGGATGGGGAAAGCACGCACTCAAGGCCAACGCTATCCACATCAATTTTGGGAGGGAAAACAACAACTCCATTGTTGAATCCACGTGGCAACGAGGAGCCAGCCAGCATAGCGCAATAAGCGCCGTAGAGGGCCCTGCGTGCTATCTCTCCTCCTAGGCGCCATCCACTGTACGGGACTCCGTCGGGTCCAGCAGCAGTGTCCTTCGACTTACTCCCTAGGACGCCGTAGAACTCATCCTCCGAGAGCGTCCAGAGAATACCGGGTGCCACGGACTGCACCTCTGCCATGAGTTCGTGCCAGAACTGCAGTAGAGAGGGTCCTGGGACGCATCATCGGCTGAGTGGACAGGCCCCCAGAATGCAGCCAGATTGCGAGCGCTCTCTTCGATGCTGATGGGCTGCTTGGTGGTGGGGTCCCCACCGCTATAAGTGGCAAGCTTGCGACGCTTAGGTGACCAGGACTTTAACACCGCATGCAGTCGAGAGCATGCTGGGTCGTCGTGCCGATGCAAAGAGGCGCACTTCTTCGGCAATGCGGACTGCGGGCTAATCTCCAAGAGCGCATCCATAAGCATATCGGAGTTCTTCTCAGCTAAGAAATTGTGAAATCCAACATAATCTACGAAAATATGCCGTGCATCGTCGTAAAACCGGCGGAGGTCTGGGACAGCATCGCAACATGCACGCGTAAAACTATGCTTCCCACACCTGTGCATACGCATGAGACGAAGACAAACTGCGATCACCTCCTTGTTCGTGCGAGCACCGTACAAGAACATGCGACGAGTGAGGGCGTCCTTCGCAGCGTACATCGCACCCTTGACATCGCGGAGGGCTTCGAGGGGGTCAGCGGGGAGGCCAACCTCCATCAAAATAGCATCCGTGATAGTCCCGAACTCGGGATGCTCCGTGACCCATCGCGGTAAAGACGGAGCTCGCACACCACCTGACGAGAGCTGCACGTATACCGGCACGTGGTCGGAGGGAGTCGAAAGATCATGAGCAACCCCAATGGTGCCAGAACGTGCATGCCAATCGAGAGCTTCGCCTGTCGGCACGTTCCAATACACACGGTCCAGGCGAGCAACGCTGTGCACAACGTCTCCGATACGCGTTCGGTGAGTAAAATCAGGCTGAGGAATTTCAACATACTCGCCAAACAAATGTGAAAAATGAACCAGGAGAGGTGAATCGTCAAGCATCGCCGGGGCGCTGCCGTCCAAGGGCTGCCGTACCTCGTCGACCTCCCGGAAGTTCCAATCCCCTCCGACAACGCAGAGAGAAGCAGCGACAGGAGGTAAAGCACGGCGCACTCGACCCAGAAACTCTCGCGCTGGCGTCGTGGACAGCTTCGGATCCACATGCACACTCGATATGGTGAGGCACCCCGCATTGCCCGCAAGATGGAGAACGACACCGCGTCCCGGAGCAATTTCATGGATTCGGGCAGCCTGGAACCTAGTTAAAAACTCCCTGGCAATAGATATAGTTACACCCCCCGAATTAGAATCAGAGCAAAAGGAGCCACAATGGAAAAAAGACGGGAATTCGCGATCGAGAGAGGCGAGGTCGGCTGTCGTGCCATGCGTCTCCTGCGTGAGAACTACGGTATACTGCTCAACAAGGCGTCGGAACAAAACACATTTACGACACTGGCGAGAATGATCACCGTGAATACTGCCGAACAGCGCTGCGCTGTTCCAAGTGGCGAGGCTGAATTCGGAGGAAAGCAAAAATGGGTGAGACCACCGCGGATGGAGAGGACAGGAAAGCAAATGCAGCAAAGGGGCGGCGGAGGGAGAAGAGACAGCAGAGAACACAAAGCTGCAAGGCGAGACCTCGATCTCAGCAGCGCCCACGTGCTCTAGCTGGGCCGTTGGAAAATGTAGGAGACGGCGGCGCTTCCCCTGGCCGCCGAGGACATGACGTACTGCATGCACGTCCGAATCCTGCTGGGGAGACCGTCAAGCAGAGCGGCGCACCAGCGCATCCACACGCTCGGGGAGAGCATCGCAGAACTGTTTCGGGATGCCCCACTTCTCCATGTCCGCGAGCGGCGAAACAGTGAACGTGTTCGTGGTACCGCCAGCCTCGGCATTTGAGACCAAGCGAACGAGGTCGTAGATCTCCTCGGTCTCCGTGTCGTGCATGTGGAGGTAGCCCGTGTGCGGGTTGCTGCCCAACTTCAGCGAGGGCTTGAAGGACGCAGACTTGCGCAGCTCCTCGTTCACCAGCGTCCAGCACTGTCCTAAGACATATAGCTCTTGTGGCGGATATCAAGGGGCTGGTCCAGTCCTGCTCGCAGTTCGTGTACTTGTGCGTCGCGCGGATCCGTCCACTTCAGGATGCGCTCAGCCCTGCATTTCATGTGAAAGTTGCGTACCAACTCCTCGGTGTCAAATGTGATGTTGTAGCTCGTCTTGTAGTTCTGGGTCTGCGCGCGGCAGTGGTCGCGGGCCTCCTGGTCCATCAACGTCTTCACCACGCTAAAATGGTTGGAGAAGGCGGAGGCCATCAGCTTCCTGGGGAACCCGCGGATCCAGATCTTGCACTTGTTCACCTCGTACGTCGTGCTGCCAGGCGGCGGCGCTTGCCCAGTGCGCTGGCGGATGTAACGCTGCCACGGGTCATCGCCTGAGGCGCCGTGCGAGCCGCCGGCACTGAGGAAGGAGGAGGAGGAGGAGGAGGAGGAGGAGGAGGAGGAGGAGGAGGGGGGAGGGGATGATAAGGAAGACAAATGGGATGGCGAGGAAGGGACAGGATAGGGGGAAGGAGAGAGAGAAAGGGCGATGGGGGTGGAGGAAGGGGGGGAGGAGACCGCGGGCGGGTGATGCCGTCTCTGGGTAAGCCCCATCGAGGCCGCTTCCCTTGTCGCGTTGGATCCTCCCAGCGCACGCGTCGGCTACGCCCTCACGAGTTCGCAGCGATTCTGCGCACGCGGCTGCCGATAAGAACTCAACCTGGCACGGCTCCAAATTAGGTGAACACTTTCTGAGTAAGAGCCTGAGCAAAGAACGCATTGCACGGCACTGTTCTGAATTGCATTGCCTGGCGTTGCTTGGCGATGCTTGGCATTGACCGGCGTGGCATGGCATTGATTTGCATCCCTGGGCACAGGAGCAACTGAGCATCGTTTAAACGATCCCCATCCCCAGCGGCGTGGCCTGGGCCCCACTTGCCGATTTACACCCCTAGGTGGGGATGTAGGCCGCATCCTTCAGGTGTCGAGGGGCGCATCCCCGACTGGGGTGGCAGTTTGGTGGGGGTCTTGAAGGGGATGGGGATGGGGATGGGGATCGGTTAAACGATACCGTGCACCTAATTAGGCAGTGGATGGGGGGGGAACCTAATCACACACGACCCGCACAGAGGAGTGCATGCCTGCGCGTGTGGCGGGCAGCTGCCTCCGCGAGCGTCATTGGCAGCACGCCGCATGACGGGGCGGTGCCACCCGGGGCCCAGGCAATACAATCACCCCGGGGGAACGCCAAGCAACCCGGACAACGGAGCAACGGGGAACGCCGAAGGCCGCCTCCCCCCTCGGACGCCGTCGAGCTCTGCGGCTGCTTGCACAGACAAGGAAGAACCCCGTAGGCCAACTGGGGGAAGATGGGGAGGACGAGGAGGGGGCGGAGGATGGACGACTGCAAGAAAGAGAAAGGGAGCGAGAGAGAGAGAGGGAGGGCTCCATTTACATACGTATACACATCTGTATATGTATACACATATATACATACATAGAGAGGGAGAGAGAGAGAGAGAGACAATAAAAAAAAAAACCTGCCACTGTGCCTCTGGGCACGGAGTGGGCATGTCCTCAGGTACTTTGCCTAATCCTTAGAGCCTCGATCCTCACTCCTGAGGAATCACCAAGACGGCCCAAGGGGCGCCCAAACCGGCCCAAGAGGGCCCCAAGACGGCCCCCACCCAGGAGGCCCCAGGAGGCGCCCAGGAGGCCCCAAGATGCCCCCAAGAGGCCCAAAAGAGGCCCCCAAACCGCCCCCATGAGGCCCAAGAGAGGTCCCCGAGAGACCTCCCACGAGATCCCAACGAACATCCAAGAGGCTTCATGTCCACAACCCAGGCGCGGTGGCGGGATGAACCGAAGGCAATCAGATCCGCCGTCTCCTGTTGGCTTGCCACTGGGGTGCCTGGCGTGCTAGATCCTCTCGATTTCGGTTCTTTGAGAAAACTCACTGGGGCTTCGGCCCGTCTCGCCGGCCATCCGAAAGGCCGCACGAGGCAGCGTAAACCACCCCAACGTCCACAAACAATTCTCCAAGACGGCTCAACATGGCCTCTAAGATGATCACGTTGGCCCAAGATGGCTTCCAAGATGGCCTCCAAGTCGCCAAAGATGGTCCAAGATGGCTTCCAAGACGGCCCGAGAGAGTCCAAGATGCCTTCAAGTTCGTCCAAGAAGCCTCCAAGACGGCCCAAGATGGCTCCAAGATGGCCTACGACTGGCCAAGAGGCCCCCAAGAGGCCTCCAAGACGTCCTCCAGGAAGGCCCGAAAAGGCACAAATCATTGATTGTCCTTACGCGTTTGAAGGATTTGGCCATTTTCTTCTTATCAGCTCTCCGACGGCCCAAGACGGCCCAAGACGGCCGCAAACATCGTCCCAAGAGCGTCCAAGAGGCCTCCAAGATGGCCCCATGACAGCCCAAGAGGCCCCCCAGAGGACCCCAAGAAGAGCCCAGAACGGCCCAAGATGGCCCCGAAGACGCCGAAGATGGCCTCCAAGACGGCCAACATGGCCTCCAAGATGCCCCCAAAACGGCCTCCAAGACAGCGAAGATGGCCCCAAGATGCACCCAAAACGGCCCCAGATGGCCTCAACATAGCCTTAGACCGCCCAAACGGTCCGCAAGAGGCCTCCAAGACGGCCAAGGAGCCCTCCAAGACGTCCCCAAGGAAGGCCCGAAGGGGTCAAAATGGCCTCCAGACGGCCCAATTGAGCCCCAGAGTGCCTCAAGAGGCCCCCCAGAGGACTCTACTTCCCTTCCCCTTTTTCCTCACTCTCCTCATCTTCCCCAACCTCCTCCACGTGTTCCCCGAAAGCTTCCCAAACCGATTAGGGGAACACTCGTTCCGAAAGATTGGCAAGGATCTGACCCAACCTTCGGCCAGCAGGCCCCAAGACGCTTCCAAAAGTTCACAAGAGGCCCCCAGGGGGCCCCGAGCAAGCCCATTCCTCACCCTCCTCCTCTTCCCCATCCTCCCCCACGTGTTCCCCGAAGGCTTTCAAAACCGATTCGGGGAACACACGGTCCGACAGCTTGGCAGGGCTTTGGCCTCAACGCTCGGCCACATAAGCGCCTCCGAAAGGGCAGGGGGCGGCGGCGACTCGCCGTAGGCGTCTTCGATGATGACAGTGAAGTCTGCGAACAGAAGGGCAGGCGGCACGCGGGAGCTCATGAGCGAGGCGCGCGGAGGGAGGAGGGGCAAAAGAGGCGAGAGGAGGACGAGGAGGACGAGCAGGAGGACGAGCACCGGGGGAAGCTAGGAGGGGGACGGGCCAGGATGGGTACGAGGAGGATGCGGGGGAGGCACGGGAGAAGGAGTGGCAAACGGATCCAGGGAGTAAACAAGGTCATGCGTGGTAGCGACGAGGAGGAGCGGGCGAGGCGGGAGCAGGGGCAACAACTACAAGAATAGGATCCTGCACCGTTGAGAAGCAGGGCAGCGGAAGCGGCAGCAGCAGGAACGAGAAACGAGGAGGCGGCGCAGAAGAGACGTCCTTCAGAGTATTCTCCACCTCGTTGAACTCCTCCTCCTGTCACGGGAAATACCCGAAACCGCCGGTGGCGCGCTGGGCAGGCGCCACGAGACCTCGTGCTATCACCATCCCTCCTCCTCCACCACCACCACCACCCCTCCTCGGCCCGCCTCCTCGAAACTCTCAGCAAGTCCGAGCGTGGCTTGATCACACGTGCCTCCACCCTCCTCCTCCTCCTCCTCCTCCTCCTCGTCCCCGTCCTCCTCCTCCTCCTCCTCCTCCTCCTCCTCCTCCTCCTCCTCCTTCCCTCCTCCTCCTCCTCCTCCTCGTCCACCTCCTCCTCCTCCTCCTCCTCCCTCCTCCTCCTCCTCCTCGTCCTCCCTCCTCCCTCCTCCTCCTCCTCCTCCTCCTCCTCCTCCTCCTCCACCGCCTCCCCCTCATTCTCCCCCTCCTTCCTCCCTCGCCCTCCTCCTCCTCCTCCTCCTCCTCCTCCTCCCTCCTCCTCCTCTCTCCTCCTCCTCCTCCCCTCCTCCTCCTCCTCTCCTCCTCCTCCTCCTCCTCCTCCTCCTCCTTTCCCTCTTCTTCCTATTCTTCCCCTTCCTCCTCCTCCTCCTCCTCCTCCTTCTCGCCCAGCCTTCCTCCTGCTGCTGCTCCTGCGTTCCTTCTACTCCACCACATCCTCCTCCTCACCCTCCTCCTCCTCCTCCTCCTGGGCTCGACATAGGAGGCGGGCACGATGTCTCCGCCCCAGCGCTGGGCCGCTGTCTCGCGCGGTGACGTCTGACACCACGCGAGACAGCGGCAGGGTGGGGCATTGCCCACCCCGCGGCCGCCAGGAGCAGGCGGCGGCCGCGGCCGGCGGGGCCCGAGGGGGGGGGGGAGGGGGGAAGAGAAAGGAAGCGGGAAAGAAGAGGCGCCGGCTCACCACGTGGAGCACCAGGAGCTCCACCAACCCGCCGAGGGCGGGCGGCCCCCATGCCTCCCTGGTTCTTCCTGCACGGGACACAGGCTACCCCACGTCACCGTGCGGGGCACACGGCGCGTGTTACCGCGCATGGGTAGCCAGGCCTGCTCCCCCCAGTCCCCTTGCCCAAGGGGGACAGAGCAGGACTCCCCACGAGCCTGGCCGAAGCCAGACCCCCCCTCCACACCCTGGCGCGACCGGGGAGTCGCCGGGCCAAGACAGTGGAAGGGACCCGATTCGGCCGGAGCCGAATCGGGATTACCGTTCAGGTCCGAAGACTGGGGTCGCTGCCCCCGCAGCCGACAACACCCACCCGCCCACGGCAATGCCGTGGGTGGGTGGGTGGTTTCGGCAGTGGCGCAGCCCCCACACAGGCCACGACTAAGCGGGTTTCAGTTCCCCCGGACGCCGGGAGGTGCCGCCCACACCAACCGGCTGCCCGCCCGGGGGCTCCTCCT